GCCGCCTGCTGCTCCCCTCAGCAGTGCACTTCAGTCCTTCTGCCTGCTCTGCTCCCCGCTCTGGCTCTGGTGAATTCTCTCACCCTCCCACGCTTCTGACTGTACCCAGTGCTTGTATAAATAAATAAATAAATAAATCTTAAAAAAAGAAAGAAAGAAATTAGGAAACCGTCTTATTGTGACTCCTGGCATCCTCTCTGGATAGGAAGGTTGTAGTTTCTTTGTGGCAAATTGCAATCTTTAGTCTCAGGAATCCTGAGTGTCAAGAAGTGGTAGTGATTGTAGCAGCTTTGAGCTGGGGACCAGCTAAACTGGAAACAGTCTGCTAGGCACAATCAGCAAAAAGTCAGAGATTCTGACCACATAGTCCCATGGGCGGGAGAAAAGACTGCAGCAAGTTGGAAAACGTGGTGAAAAACTCCTGATTGTTTTTTCTCTTTTGTTTTGAGGCCAGTACTGTTACAGGGCAGGGAGAGGGGCAACCCAGACCCACAAACCTGCCTGCTCTAAATAGATTCTGCCATCTGCTGCATCAACATAAAACATATGAGACTTTAATGGGAAGGAACTTTAATACAATTAGGAAACAATACAGGAAAGGCAAAGAATCTAGTTTCTAAATCAAGCACCCAAAGTTACCCGTCCCCTCGTGAGTAAAAGTCCACCCAAATGGGATTGGCCCAGACCAAGGCCCCAAAGCCTGCCACAAGTCTATAGCATCTTCCAGTGGGGACCCACAGAAAAGGATCAGAAACCACCAGACAAGTCTGGAGGGAAAAGAGCAAAATCAACATCAAGACAAAACCGCCATTGTCACCTCCCCACGGGTCTCTCACCCACATCTGTTTCAACCACTCTACAACCAAAAGGCAAGCGCAGTTTCTTCACATGTCTCTCCGCTCCATGTGCCTCCTCCAGGTCTCCTTCTGGCTCTCCATCCTGCTTCCTTCCCTCCTCAGTCTCCTCTGCATCTTCTTCTCTTCCTGCTCAGCTCCACCCTCCCTGGGGTGGGGCAGGAAACCTGGAACCTCCCCCTTTCCTGGCGACCACCCTGTTACAGTACCAGTCCTAGAGCTCCAATGCTTTCATACAGTGACAATGATAACTAAGCCCAGGACAAAAATCCTGGGCCTTTGGACACAGGAAATATGTACAATTTTTTGTTATGCAAAGTACAAGAATCCCTGTTACTACTTGTTTTCTCTCTACAGGATAGACAGAAAGTCTAGGAAATATTAAGAGAACCCTACCTTTCTGGAAAAAGAGTCATGGGGGCCAGAGAGTATGAAGGAAATCCCAATAGGAGAGAAGTGGAGAAGGGAATTCCTAATTCTGAGACAGTCTAAGTAAAAGAAATTCTGCTCTGACTAAGGTGTGAGTTGCCTGTTTGAACAAGGAAATTGGATCATGACTGGGGTGCCCAGTGCCCAGTTTAAACAGCTAATTTGGATCTCGTTTGGATTGCACCTGTGGTATAGCAGTTCTGTTTTTTATCCTGTTCAAATATTTTGGTTCACCAGACAGACCAAAGGTAGCATGCTAGAGAAAAAGCATTAAATTCTGATTAATACTTGCCATACAGTTTCCTGAAGGGGAAGAACTGGGGGTTAGACATGTGCAGTTGGAATGTAATTAGTCTGTGCAAGCCAAGAGGTAGCCCAGCCCAGCACAAACTTGAGTGCTCCTGCGCTCCTCCATCCAGACACATGGACTTGTTGCTTCTTTAACAATTCCCTTCTGACTCTCTTCAGGGAGACAGGCTAAAATTCTCCTTACCAGCGCTGGTTCCCTTGTGCACGAGTCTCTAATAAATCCTTGCCTGGTTCACCTGAATTCTCTGGTGAATTCTTTTTCCTAGACAATCCCCAGACCCACACATTTTTTGTCGGGAGAGGTTCTATAATAATTCTGTGGAGAGGTTTGTTATGTAGATACAGGTAACTGATAAAGGAATCCATGTCATGAACTCAGGTCTGCCTTGTGCTATGCAACAGCTAACTTTTCATACTTAATACAAAGTTATAATTTGTTAATTGTGGGGAAGAAATGAGATTGCCCACATGAAAGGCATTTCTTATATTTCCATTCCAATTTTTTTTCTAATCTTTCTGATCACATAAATATCAGAAAGCTAAGTCATTTGGAGGAACGGTCATAACTTCAAGAGATGATAACAAAGGAAGACTGCAATTAATGAGTAATTCATCCCAAAACCTTTTGAGGCTTAGAAGTTACTAGTCCCAAACTTTCAGAAGAGAAAGAACTTCTGGGACATACTATTGCACGTCTTACTAAAAGATAATCCCATGAGAACTGGTCAATAAGTTGTGAACTGCTATGACAGAGCATTGAGGGTCTACAAAGAATGACAAATAGCCATATTAAGTAATTAGACTTTATCTTCCTTTCACCTAGCCTCCCTCCCTCCTGTCTTGAACTTGGAAGACCCAGAGAAGGGATGGTTCAGTGAAAGAACAGACAGGGCTTCCCTAGCATTGCATTCTTGGAGGACTCTGAGCCCAGTTCTGGCTACGCTGGAAGTGTGGAGGGACAAAGACTTCATTTATTCTTTCATTCCACCAAGAGTTACTGCTCACTCTGATCTTGGCCAGTAAGGTCTAGACAGTGGGGATATATCAGTGGGCAAACATGACAAAAGTCTCTGCTCTTGTAAAGCTTAAAGTCCATGGAGACTGACAATAAACATAAGGTAAAACATTAGATGGTGATGAGTGTTGTGCAAACAAGAAATAGAGAGGGCCTCCCTGGTGGCGCAGCGGTTGAGCGCTGGGTTGCGAAGCTGCCCTCAGCCTTTGCTGCGCCAGTTTGATCCCCGGCTACTCCCCGACACCGGAGGAGGGTCCCGCTTGGCGCGCAGACCTCTCCTGCCGCCCACTGCTCCCCTCAGCAGTGTACTTCGGTCCTTCTGCCTGCTCTGCTCCCCGCTCTGGCTCTGGTGAATTCTCTCACCCTCCCGCGCTTCTGACTGTACCCAGTGCTTGTATAAATAAATAAAAATAAATCTTTAAAAAAAAAAACCAAAAAACAAAACAAAACAAAACAAAAAAAAAAAACAATGAGAAATAGAGAGATGTACAGTGGGGAAGGAGAGCAGGTATTAAAGGATGGTCAGAAAGGGTCTTAGTGAGAAGGTGGGATTGGATTCCCTTGAGAGAGAAGAAGAAGAAAACTATCTCCATCATTAACAAAGAACTTTTAGGCAGAGGGAACAGTTAGGGCCAAGAACTCCTTGAGGTTGGAGGTGGGAAGGTGTCTTGTGATTTCTAGCAAAGGAAATGAAACCAGTGGCTGGAAAAGAGAAAAGGGAGAAAAGGGGAAGTAAAAGGTTTCCGAGACAAAGGGAGACAGGGCTGGAGACTCTCCAGATCCCGGTAAGCTATTTGGCCATATTGAATGTAAGTTCCCTTTTGTCTTGAATGTGAGGGTTTAATAATAAATTGCTTTGGATTTTTCACTACCTGAAAGTGAGTTCCAACTAAGATGAGACGTTTTCATATTTAAAAGTGCCCAGGGCCTTCCCTGGTGGCGCAGCGGTTGAGCGCTGGGTTGCCAGGCTGCCCGGTTCGATCCCCGACCACCGGCGAGGGGCCCACAAAAAATAAATAAATAAATAAAAGTGCTCAGGAAATTGGATTCTAGAGCTTAAGAAATGGACTAAGAAAACATGAATAGCCATATTCCTCTCCTTGCACTTTATTGGATCCCACGCCCTCGCTGACCGCCGGCGAGGCCCCGCCTTCCCCATTGTGATCCCGCCCCCTCGGATTGACAGCCACCGAGGTCCCGCCTCTCCACCATGGTCCCGCCCCTATCCGAACTGACAACCCAACGTGGCCCCGCCTCTCCCTCGGTGGTCCCGCCTGTCACGTGGAGTGACAGTCCATGGGGCTCGCCTCTTCCTTTCCAGGCCGCGCTCACTCTAGGCGGCAGCACAGCTAGACCTGTCCTTCAATTCTCCGGGGCCGCCCCTGTCCCTGCCAGGTGATCTTGGCTAGGCCCCGCCCTTGCTGGGGGGTGGGGGTGGGGTGTCAAGCCTCTGAGTAGGCCCCGCCCCTCACGCTGCGGCCACGCCCCTAGGCCACGCTCCCCGCGCTGTCGCATGTAGGCTTAGTCTCCCCGCAGCGGCCACGCCCCTAGGCCAAGCCCCGCCCACGTTGTCGCGTCTAGGCCCCGCCTCCCCCACCGCGGCCACGCCCCCGCCGTCGCGCTTAGGCCGTGCCGCACCCGCCACGCCCCGCAGGCCCGGGCGCGGCCCCCTGGAGCGTCCACCCGCTGCCCCCCGGGTCTCGAAAGACTTGGAGCGCGGCGGCGGCCGGTGAGTGGGGGAGGGCGCTTCGGGCCCCGCTCTCGATGGCCCAGAACCCCAGTCGTTGCGGGCGGCTGAGCCGGGGAGGCGCGCGGCGCCTGGACGTGTCCGGGGCTCCTCCCGGCCCGCCCTTCCTTCCCGGCGCCTCCCGCCGCGGGCGGTCCCGGCAGGGCAAGTGCCCGGGGCGGCCGCGGAGGTGGGACTGTGCCCCGAGGGGAATGGAGGTGTTGCGGGAGTGGCAGTTGCAGGTGGGGTCTGGGGAGAGAGAGGTTGGGGAGGGGCAGGGGATCGGGGGTAAGGGGTTGAGTCAAGGAAGGGGCGCGCTGAGGCCGAAATCTGGGGCTGCTGGAGTGAGGTTTGGGGGGCTTAGCGGGGTGGCAGGGCTGTAGGGAGGGAGGTCGTGAGTGGGGGCGGAGGAGCCGTGAAGCATAGAGGAGGAGAGGACCAGCTCACAGTGACCCGATGATTCATGCTGCTGGGACTGGGGAGAGTTATGTTATTTCCAAATCCGTGTGGCCTGGACAAGCCTGCAGGGTACTGCTCGCCGTCGGGGTGATTGGGCTTCCAGGCTTTTCACTGGGACGCATCGCACAGTTTAAATAAGAACTGCAAGTCTGGGGCAGTACCTGGGGCACCTGAGAAATGTGGATGGAATGTGGTTCTCCTTCCATAGGTTGCTTCTGATTTTGTTGGCGCCTTCACAGCCCCAGCTTTGGTGTGTGCTTTCTTCTGCAAAATCCTGTTCCAGGAGCCAAGACACTTTATGGTGGCCCTGGACTTCACAAGTACAGTTGATGTTTGTTCAAACTCAAAACACAGTTGTATCACATTCCCTTAAATACTGCGGAGTTTTAGTAAAAAGAAAAATCCTGTGAGTTAAAATCTTTATTACCTATTATCAAACTAAGTCATACTAACCTAGAAGACAGGACAAGATATTTCTTTAAGGACCCATTCTGTGAATATGATAAACCATTTGAAATTAACTGGGAAGTAGGTCATGTCCTGACCAGCTGTAACTGACAGAATCTTAGGTTGCAGATGAAGAATGAAATTTTAAAAATCTGAAATAGTACAAAAGACCTGGTATACTGGAGTGGTTTTTTTTTTTTTTTTTTTTTTTGTAGAAAATCTGGAAGCTACAGAAAAATATATGGATGACTTTAAAAATCGCATACAACTCCATTAACCCTATTAGCATTTTCATACAATTATTAATTCTCTGTGGGGTTTTGTGTGTGTGTGGATTCAGATATACCTACTATAAAAATTAGGGTCATGTTGATTTTACTTTATAATTTGCTTTTTCCCCTGCTTAGGAATTTCCTGGATCATTAAAAGTCTGCTTAAACACTTTTTTAACTTTATTTTTAGTTGTATGTATTTCTTTCCTTGGATTTTACTTTTTTGCCAGGTGTATGTGTGTGGAGGGAGAGTTGTTAGAGAATAGGGACTTTTTATGGGTAGGAATCTTTAGTTTAGTTTTTGATTTTTAAATAATTTTAGATTATAAAAAAAACTTGCAAATATAGTACAGTGTTCCCATATGCCTTTCACTTGGCAATTATTGAAATCAGTAATTTACATTGCTGCAGTTTTATTAAGTAACCTACATACCTTGTGAAAGTTTCATCAATTGTCCTACTAATGGCCAGGGTAAATTCAAGGTCCTTCATTGCATTTAGTTGTTTTATCACCTTTAATCTGGGTGCTTTCCTATATAGGATGATCTGGTGCAAACTGTGAATTAAAACTAGGCCTTTAGAAAGCATCTATTTTCTCTAAATTCATATCCAAAACCCCATGCCTTGTGAGAGCATATTTATCTTCTCTTCCTGTATTGCTAAACTAGTATGTTGGATCAAATTATGGAACCAATAAGGTGTTCTTTTATTTCTTTTTTAAAGATTTATTTATTTATACAAGCATTGGGTACAGTCAGAAGCGCGGGAGGGTGAGAGAATTCACCAGAGCCAGAGCAGGGAGCAGAACAGGCAGACTGACAAGCACACTGCTGAGGGGAGCAGCGGGCGGCAGGAGAGGTCTGTGCGCCATGTGGGACCCTTCCCCGGCCAGCACTCAACCGCTGCGCCACCAGGGAGGCCCGTGAACTTGTCCTACCTTTAAACTGAAAGTCTGTGGCCTGGGAACCCCTTCAGTCTAGGACTGCTCTTTGCCTTATAGTCATTACTGGTTGCTGGTTTGGGTGACAGTCTGGATACTAGAGAAAAATTGACAGTATTAGTAGGAATCATACTTAACCCCCTCCCTCCCCCACCCCTGGTCCCAAGATGTCCATATATGTTGAATCATTACCTGTTTTTAGATTGATCCCAACTGGAACCATGGGGTCCTCTTTTGTACTTACTCTTAAAGCCTTTATGTCTCCTCCCCCTGCCCCACTGTGTTTTGGTCTGGATGTACCAGTTAAGCATCCATGGTAATGGTGGAATAAGTTCCCATTGAGACCCTCTGGTAAAAGTGGATCACGGAGCTCTGCTGTCTCCAAGGCTGCCACAAGGCTTCTTATTTCCACCGCCTCACTGTTGAGATTCATACCACTGACCAGGCGGTAGGGAGAAGTAGGATTGGAGCAGGCAGGAGTCCACTGACCAGTGATCTGCACCACTGGAAATCTGCCTTAGCTGCACCTGTTACATGTAGGAGACAGGAAGAGCAGGAACCCTGCGAGGAGAGGGACTCCCCAGAAGTCTTCCTATTGAGTAACAGAAATGTCCTAAGTAGGAGGGGGCACAAGAAGGACACAAATGTACCTTAGTACGAAGAAGAGAGTACACATGGTATAATAGGGGGTACTGGTCTGAGGTAACCCAGCTCTGTGGCTCAGTGGATGTCTCAAGTGTGAGGCAGAGCTGGTCCTTATGGCACCGCATTGCCAGCAGGGTTGAATCCTCCGACAGCGCCTTAGGTTCTGGAGCCTCGAAGGGATCTAGGCTTACCAGGCTCCACTGCAAAGTCTTTGTGGACAGCCTTCATCCCCCCCACATGTTTCATATTACTCAGAGCAGAGTCCAAGCAGCACTGGCACTTGTCTGTGACACTTTTATTGCGCTAAAGCATGCAGCGACATAGCTGTGGCAAGGCCAGTGTTCCTTCTGATAATGAGACTATAAAACAGACTTTATTGATGTTAAGTTCACAGGTAAGGGACAAAGTCTTTATCACGAATGTCATGGTGTCATTCAAAGATCACTGGATTTTCAGACCTGTCCCTGCTACCGTGGTTGTGTGACTTTGGGTTTTCCAACATGACATAGTGAGGTCATGGGCCTAATCGACCCCTAAGACTTTCTGCTGTAAAAATTCTGTCACTGCCCGGCTCTTGCAGTGTTCTTGGCAGTTTCCTACGTAGGAGCTGGCGGGGAGGTGATGTGCCTAAGCGCCAGGTCCTTTCATTTCCGGAACTGTGGAACAGAAGGCATTTCATTGTTAATCTTTCCTCAAAGTAAAACAAAACAATTTGAAAGCTAGGCAGCTTCTTCTGTACAAAGTTGGCATGTTTGTTTTTCCCTCCTGTACAGGCATGCTTTGTTTTATTGCACTTTGCAGATACCGTACGTTGTACAAATTGAAGGTTTGCGTCTGCCTTGTGTTAGGCAAGTTTATCAGCATCATTAGTTGGTATGTTTTTCATCTGGGGAATAAAGCAAAACATTCTTTTTTTTTTTTTAATAAAGATTTATTTATTTATTTATACAAGCACTGGGTACAGTCAGAGGTGCGGGAGGGTGAGAGAATTCACCAGAGCCAGAGCGGGGAGCAGAACAGGCAGACTGACAAAGTACACTGCTGAGGGGAGCAGCGGGTGGCAGGAGAGGTCTGCACGCCATGTGGAACCCTCGCCCTGTGGCCAGGGATCGAACTGGCTGCAGAGACTGCGGGCAGCTTCGCAACCCAGCACTCAACAGCTGTGCCACCGGGCAGGCCCCAAGCAAAACATTCTTTTTACTATCAGCTTTAAACAGCTTTAAACAGTATTTGATCTTTACTAAAGTATCTATTTTACATATATTGTTGGAAATGTGGGACTTCTATACTCAGAAATATGGAAACCCCTTTTTTCTAATTATAAAAAATACCCCCTCACTAACATTCAAATCAAAAATAAAATTAAAAAGAAGGAAATAAAAAGCATTCTAAATCCTACTCCTTAGAAATAACTACTAGGTGAAATATATCTGACTAATCATGGATGGAATTTTTTATTAAAATGCTCTCTATGGACTGACAGCTGTGGACTGAGACATGTATGCAGTTCAGGGTATAAACTTTGGCAATGGGCTGCCTGGTTACAAATCCCAGATTCCCTGCTTGCTGCCTTGTAATAATGGACAAGCTACTTACCCTCTTTCACCTCAACTTTCAGGTCTGTAAAATGAAAGTGTTAAAGTTCCTTCTTATGCAGAGTAGGTAACTAAATGAGTTAATGCTTAGCCCAGTGCTCTGCCCGTAGTAAGTCCTCAGCAGATATTAGCTAGTGTTGTCATTTTGATCTTACTATGGGGTACATATATTTGTAAGTTATGCTTTGCATCTTTTATATTTTTCCAATGTATTATGACATGTTCTCCATTTGAATAGAGCTGGCTCTATATCCTACTACTTATGCTTCCTTAGCTAATCTCCTGTTGTTGGACTTTTATGTTGCAGATTTATTTTTTAGCTAATCTTTAGCTAATCTCCTATTGTTGGACTTTTATGTTGCAGATTTATTTTTTAGCTAATCTTTAGCTAATCTCCTGTTGTTGGACTTTTATGTTATAGTGTTTTTTTTTCTGTTCCTTTGCCATAAATAATAAAGCTGTAATGAACTTCTATATACTTAATGAACTTCTCTCTATATATTTGACTTAGTTAGCTTCTTGTCACAAGTTCCAAAAATAATAAGAAGAAAAAACTGTAATGAACTTCTCTATACACATGTGATTTTATCACCTTGGCATAAATTCCTGACCATCTTGAATGGTATGAGTAGTCAATATTATTTTTCATAATCTCACTATGCTTTCTGAAACAGTGGTGTAATAAATGACAGCATCTGTCAACAGTATGTGAAAATGCCTACATCTACATCTGTGGCAGACTGGGTTCTGTCTGTCTTTCAACTTTGGCAAATTTGAATTAGGAAAAGTATGTTGTTAATTTGCATCTCTCTTATTAATAACTTTGAGTATTTTTTCAAATGTGTGTTGGCAATTTGTATTCTTTTGTGATTTGTGATTCAGGGTTTTTTTTTGTTGTTGATTTATAAGAACTCTTTGTACATCAGAGATAGTGGCACTTTTATTAGTGATACATTGGAAATCTTGTGTCTCAAGTAATGAAAGGCATATAATATCTCAAATGAGATAAAATCAATGAGAAAATTATTATTTTTTAATATTTTATTTTATATAATTCTTACATCATTTTTCATCTTTGTACAATGTATGCATTTTCATTTTGATGATATTCCCCATACAATTGCACCCTCCCCCTTACTTTGACTCTAGTTCTTCCTCTCCCCACCCCTTCCTAATCCCCCCCCATAGTGTGTCTCTGGTTTATAGTTGCTTGTTGATTTTGATTATTACTTTGCATTGATTAGTCTTTTTCCTGGTCTCTTATTTAGGTTTTCTAAATTCCTGCTGTGAGTGAGACCATCCGGTATTTTTCTTTTTCTTTCTGACTTATTTTGCTGAGCGTGATCCCTTCTAGCTCCATCCATGTTGCTGCAAACTGCATGTGTTTATCTTTTTTGATTGCTGAGTAATATTCCATTGTGTATATATGTACCACATCTTCTTGATCCAGTCATCTATTTTTGGGCATTTGGGTTGTTTCCATAGCTTAGCTTATTGTAAATAGTGCTGCTATAAACATAGGGGTGCAGGTGCCCTTTGGAATTACTGTTTCTGTGTCATTTGGGTAAATATCTAGGAGTGGAATTGCTGGATCATATGGAAGCTCTATGTTTAGTAGGTCAAGAAATCTCCACACAGCTCTCCATAGTGGTTGTATTACAGGGCAGGGAGAGGGGCAGCCCAGAACCGCAAACCTGTCTATTCTAAATGGGTTTTGCCATCCACCACATTAATATAAAACATATGAGACTTTAATGGGAAGAAACTTTAATACAAGTAGGAAACAATGCAGGAAAGGCAAAGAATCTAGTTTCTAAATCAAGCACCCAAAGTTACGCGTCCCCTCGTGGGTAAAACTCCATCCAAATGGGATTGGCCCAGAGCAATACCTCAAAGCCTGGCACAGGTCTAAAGCATCTTCCAGTGGGGACCCACAGAAAAGTGTCAGAAACAACCAGACAAGCCAGAAAGGAAAGAGCAAAATCAAAATCAAGATAAAAGCTGCCACTGTCACCTCCCCACAGGTCTTACCCACATCTGTGTCACCCCATCCATGACCAAAAGGCAAGCGCAGTTTTTTCACATGTCTCTAGGCTCCATGCGCCTCCTCCAGGTCTCCTTCTGGCTCCATCCTGCTTTCTTCCTTCCTCAGTCTCTGCAGCTTCTTCTCTCCCTCTCAGCTCCACCCTCCCTTGGGTGGGGCAGGGAACCTGGAACCTCCCCCTTTCCTGGGGTCCACCCTGTTAAGGTTGGACCAGTTTGCACTCCCACCAGCAGTGCAGGAGAGTTCCTTTTTCTCCACAACCTCACCAACATTTGTTGTTGCTAGTTTTTTTAATATGTGCCATTCTCACTGGTGTAAGATGAGATCTCATTGTAGTTTTGATTTGCATTAATGAGAAAATTATTAGTTTCTAGATAGTTCTCATGTTTAGAGTCTCAGAAATATTGCTTTATGACCTGGTAATTATTAATAAGTTGGTCCTTTGTTACTCACATTAGATAGGTCTTTTAGTGCTTAGTAATGCATAAATACTAAAAAAGTGACCTTGAGACATGTCCACATATGCCCTAGTGAGCTTTATTTTTCCTTTAACCCAACCATTATTTGTATCTCAGTTATTTCTTCCCTTGCATACTCTTCATGTCCCAGGTTAAAATGTTGGAGTTACCATCTATCTTTTCCAAGTTGAAGGGTTTCTGGCTCTCAGCCTTCCTTTCTGGAAGGTTAATTCTCCCTCCTCAGTCTGCCCTTTTCCCTCTGGTCTTTGCAGTTGCATTTAGCCTTTCCCTGCGTGTTAGAATGGTTTGATACACACCTGCCTCTGCTGTGTGAAGTCAAGCTCCTAAAAAAGGACAGTGTGGACCTTATTTGCTTTTGAACTTCAGATGCTGTCAGGACTTGGTTCGTGGTAAGCTCATAATAAATGTTTGCTATTTGCTATTTCTATTTAAAAGATAATGATGCTAAGCCTCTCTGTAATACTGGTAAATTAACATTTTTTTGTTATGAAAAATTTCAGAAGTTCAGAGGAGTTGAATGAATAGCAGGAAGAATGCCCATATTCTTGCCTCCTAAATTTATCCATTGAGAGTCATAGCATGGACACAGAGCTAAGCCTCTGCTCAGAAACTCACACAGTGACTCATTACTGATGGCTGGGTCAGATGTAAACTGGAGCATTTCCCTAAATGGTCTCACTTAACAAAATGCTGCTCCTCTGCTCTGTTCTGGCCAGTCTTCCATTCTTCTTCCATGCTGTTTTTATTCTTGCTGCATTGATTTATTGATTTTACACAGGTTATTTCCCTGTGCAGAACATATTTGATCCAAACCTTTTTCAGAGTAAATGTTCTGTGTCCCCAAAGCTCTGATTGCTATCTGCTATCATTTTTTTCATTTGTGACCACACTATTAACTATTTGGTCATGAGTACTAGTTCCTATTTTGATCTTATTTTGATTTCCTTCATAGAATCTTAACATCCTGACTTTTGATTTAACTGGTATCTCTAGTAAAAGATAAAAGATCTGATCTGAAAAGAAATAAGCATTGGCTGCTATGTTAAATAGCATTGCTAATGTATTTGTAGTATGATTTGAATGTGGCATTGATTTATAATACCTGTCTTGTCCCAAATAAAACTTACACACTGCTGGAGAAAAGCAAAAGCTTTTGATCAGTTCAGGTCAGACAATCTGGATCTGCTTGATCAACATGTTGCAAGATTGAGATTTCTCCCAAAGGAAGAGAAGATGTTCTGTGGTATTGGTCACTCCTTTAGTGATGGTCCCCGGGAACTGATTTGCACTCATACTTTGGAGTCATTAATACTCACATAAAGTACAAAGTTAGAATAAGTTTAAAGTGTAAAATTTGCTCTTGTTCAGAATCACTGGGCTGACTCTAATTTTCTCTTTTCCATAATAACCAGTTTTCTTTTCACTTTCTTTTAATTTTTAGCAAGTTTATCAAAGATGAAAGTGACCTTATCAGCTTTGGATACTTCTGAGACTTCTTTCACACCTCTGGTAGTCATAGAACTTGCTCAGGATGTCAAAGAAGAAACCAAAGAATGGCTGAAAAACAGAATTATCACGAAAAAGAAAGATGGAGGTGAGTATAGTGAATACCACTCAGACTTAGTCATGTTCAGTGAGTGAAAATTTATTTTCAAATGTGTTTTACATTTTCTCACTGATATATTTTTAAAATTAATGTTCCTTTATTTTGCTTTTTATTATTTATCTGGGACTTAAAAGAAATCTTTTTTTTTTTTTTAAAGAGGCCAGAGATGCAGTGGGTGAGAGGATTCACCAGAGACAGTGGGGAACAGAACAGGCAGACTGACTGAAATACACTGCTAAGAGGAGCAATGGGCGAGACAGGAGAGGTCTGACTCACCATGTGGGTTGCTCCCTGGCCGGCCGGGGATTGAACTCGTGCTGCAGAGGCTGTGGATTGCTTCATAGTGCAGTGCTTAACCTCTTGTGCCACCAGGGAGGCCCCTTAAAAGACACCTTAAATCAACATTAGACTGTAAATTTCCATTAGACTATAATGAATATGGAGTGATTTTGTTCACAGCTATAAACTCTGTGCTTATCACAGTTCCTGGTGTACAGTAGGTGATTGATAAATATTTGTCCAATGAATGAGCAAGTATCTATTGCGTGTTCTTTGTATGGTGCTGGGGGAAAGATAAATCCAGCCTGTTCTTGCAAAGATATTTCTTGCAGGTGACAGGGTAAGGAGACTTAGTGTAACTGTTGTAGAGCAACCCCGATACAAAACGGGGTGCCTGACTGTGGGTCCGCACCCGCGCGCTTAAAAGGACTTATCAATGCTCTAGGGAAGGGGAAGGGAAGGGGAAATGAGGAAATGTACAACTCAGGGAGAAAAGTGGGAGACAAAGTTTTAAATGAGTCCTACCCGATCCGCTGACAAATGAGTCCTACCCAATCCGCTGATCTGGAATCCCAAATGGCGCTCTGAGAGCTGGCTGCAAGCCAGGAGCCCTAAAGCCAGGAGGCAAGCGACAGCGAGCCCCCCAATGCCCATGTGTTTGGTTTTTATATCCAACCTGGCTGCCCAACTCCACCCTCAGGTCCCAGCCACCCTCCCTTTGGTGGTGATGGGATTTGTCTTTCCCAATGTCTTGATGGCTTTAGTCTGGAGTGGGGGTGGGGTCCACAAAGCCTGTATGGGATTAACTCAGGACATCATTTCCCCCTAACATTACTTCCTAGAAATTGAAGTAACAAAAGAAGCGAACAAAAGGGCTGTTACAAAGCAGTGCTTAGTACCTAAAAGGGAAGTGTATATATACTGTGTTGTAAAAATAAAGGGAAGAAAGCGGTGATGCTTTGGTGATGCTTTTTGGGGTGGTTAGAGATGTCTTTATAGAAGAAACCAAAGTTTAGACCTTTCCCAAAGGGGGAAATGAGATCTAAATCTGGGTGAGAGGGTGGAGGGCTTTTTTTTTTTTTTTTTTATAGAGGCATGCTTTATTTATTTATTTGTTTGTTTGTTTTTGTTTATACATGCACTGGGTACAGTCAGAAGCGCGGGAGGGTGAGAGAATTCACCAGAGCCAGAGCGGGGAGCAGAGCAGGCAGAAGGACCGAAGTACACTGCTGAGGGGAGCAGCGGGCGGCAGGAGAGGTCTGCACGCCATGTGGGACCCTCCTCCGGTGGCCGGGGAGCAGCCGGGGATCGAACCGGCGCTGCAGAGGCCGCGGGCAGCTTCGCAACCCAGCGCTCAACCGCTGCGCCACCGGGGAGGCCCGGGTGGAGGGCTTTTTACATGAGAAAATGCCCCACAAAACTATGCAGAACAACATCTAAGACTTTACAAATGCTTAACCAAACTTAGGCTTTTTTAAAAAGATTGTTACTGCAAACTGAAGTGCTTTCTTAAAAATGAAACTTCGATAAACACATGCAATTTGCAGCAACATGGATGGAGCTGGAAGGGATCATGCTCAGCGAAATAAGCCAGAAAGAAAAAGAAAAATCCCGGATGGTCTCGCTTATAGCAGGAATCTAGAAAACTTAAGTAAGGGACCAGGAAAAAGAATAACTATAAGAAAGTAAAAATCAAAATCAACAAACAACTATGAACCAGAGACATTCTATGGGGGGTGGGGGGCGGGGAAAGGAGGGATTGGGGTCAAAATAAGGGGGTTGCAATTGTATGGGGAATATAAAAATAAAATTTAAATTAAAAGAAAAAAGAAACTTCGAAGTGGAAGTTTTAATGTTTGTTTGTTTTTCAAATAATAGAATCAAAAGAAAATTTATAAATATGTATCACTGCTTGCTAACATCTGAGCTGTTTCACTGGTCTAGGGCCCCTTTAAGGCTCCTGAGATCTCAGAACATTTGTAGTGTCTTAGAGTGAGGGACTACAGTGTACCCCAATCTCTTCCTTTGTTCACTGTGTGACTTTAGGAGGGACACACAAGGGTGGGGAAGGTAGAATCTATCTACTCTGCTGGGACAATAGTAAAGGAAATTACCAAAAAAGTATTCTGGAGTTTTCAGGTATAGGCAATAAATTTAACACTCATGTTTGCTTTTACTCTTTTCCAAATTCCTATTAAAATGTAACGAAAGGGTTTTTTTCAGAAAGATATAAGTACACATTTGACGTAGAAAAAGGACAGCAGCACCATTCTGGAAGCTGGAAAGCAGGTGGATGAGTAGTAATTAGCTTCTCAGACTTGAGAAAGTCAGAGGTGAAGCTGGCTGGGTAGAATATTGAGATGAGTTTGGTTTACACTGCAGAATATTCCCAAAGACTCAGAAGTCAGTGAAACTGAATACACATGAAGTTGGACATAAAATTGGTGCCAAGAAAAAAGAAAAAGAATGACTGCAATCTATTTTAAAAAGAGTTCAATTTCTTGATTCCTTCTGTATTTTACCACCTGGCAGAAGACTCTGCTTATTCTCTGCAGAGGGTCAGATGCATGGATTTTGGCATGGGGACACTATGTACAATTAGACACAGAGAGTCTGTCTGAAAATAGGGCACTAGCTCAATATTTTTACCCACCACAGCTATGTCGGATAAAATTAATATCCTTTAATTTTAATGTTTTTTAATATTAAGAAACTTGTTATTTTTACTAAGTTCAATTTTATATCTAGAGCTAATAGAGCTAATAAATTTTAAATTCTTTTCTCATATCTACTTATGATTTGAGTAACTGTTAAGCTACTTATTAAATTTTCTAGTTTTTGGCATTTATTAAAAAAAGTTTTACAGGATTGCCATCCCCAATTATTTTTATATAGTTGACCCATGGACAACATGAATTGAACTCCATGGGGTCCACTTATATATAGAAAATGTATTTTCTTTCTTATGATTTTCTTGATAACATTTTTTTTCCTCTAGTTTACTTCATTGTAAAAACAAGTTTATAATACATAGTCAAAATATGTATTAATTGACTTATCGGTAAGGCAGTCAACAGCAGGCTAGTAATAGTGAACTTTTTGAGGAGCCAAATGTTATACACAGATTTTCAACTATTCAGGAGGGGATCAGTACCCAATGTCCCTGCATTGCTTAAGAGTCAACAGTATATGCTACTTATTTGGAAACTGGATTTAAATAGTTAATATAATTTCTTTTCTAAAAACATATTATTTATTTAGAAGATTTTTATTTTTGAAACTTTTGTCTCTTTCTAAGATTGTGCTTATCTTTTGTGTTTGAAGGTGCCCAGCTGTTGTTTAGACCATTGTTAAATAAATATGAGAAAGAAACACTTGAAAATCAGAACTTATATCTTGTTGGTGCCTCCAACACTAGACTGTTACTCGGGGCAGAAGCACTGGGGTTGGTTAAAGAGTGTAATGACAACGCCATGCGAGCCTTCACCTACGGGACACGGCACAACTTCAAAGGTTTTGATGGTAAGTCCCAAGATTCTGTGTTTCTGTCAGAATTGATTATCAAAGAGAAGTTTTTGATGTAAGTTAAACAGAACATGAAGCTCCTTGGATGCTTATTAAAAAGCCTGTTCTATTTTCACATAATACAATTCTTTAATCATTTCGGTAGTTATTATAGAATGTGGTACAAATATCCAAACAGCAGACGCTTGCTTGATCTCATTCACAACCAGAGAGCAGAAGGTAAAATGTTCTTTAACTCTAATAATATATATTTTTTAAAGATTTATTTATTTATTTATATAAGCACTGAGTACAGTCAGAAGCGCGGGAGGGTAAGAGAATTCACCAGAGCCAGAGCAGAGAGCAGAACAGGCAGACTGACGAAGCACACTGCTGAGGGGAGCAGCGGGTGGCAGGAGAGGTCTGCGCGCCGTGTGGGACCCTCGCCCAGTGGCTGGGAATTGAACCTGTGTGGCAGAGGCTGCAGGCAGCTTTGCAACCCAGTGCTCAACTGCTGCGCCACCGGGGAGGCCCTCTAATAATATTTTTAACTAGAGATAGAACTGAAGTTTGCCTATATGACAAATTTTCCTTCAAACTCTCAAGCCCAGGCCATTCCTTCTGGAGTCAGGCATCTTCCTGTAAATGAGGGAGAAGAAAGTCTGATAAGAAAATACTGCTTTGGGCCTCCCCGGTGGCGCAGTGGTTAAGCGCTGGGCTGCGAAGCTGCCTGCAGCCTCTGCAGCGCCGGTTCGATCCCTAGCCACCGGGTGAGGGTCCCACATGGTGCAGCAGACCTCTCCTGCCGCACCCACTGCTCCCCTCAGCAGTGTATTTCGTCAGTCTGCCTGTTCTGCTCCCAGCTCTGGCTCTGGTGAATTCTCTCACCCTCCCATGCTTCTGACTGTACCCAGTGCTTGTATAAATAAATAAATAAACCTTTAAAAAAAAAAAAAAGAAAGAAAATACTGCTTTTTGGACAGGTTAATCCTTTTAAATGAGGCACATTTCACTTTGGTCATTTATTCACTGAGATATAAAAATCTAGAGTCTGATGAAATTTAATCACATTTTGTAACTCAGAAAGCCCAGGAAGGAACTAATTTGATTCCAAAGCCAGATTCCTACCCTGATATCATACCTGCCCTGGCTTTTTTGCTCTTCCCAGAAACTGTCCTTCTCTGGAACCCCCTTTGGGCCACCATAGAACCAGTTACCTTACCAGGAAATGGGGATTCTAGGATACTAAACTGCTACTGTGTTTCTTATTACTAGATTTTCCAGTATCATGTCAGTACTGATTTTGTACTTTGATTACTCCTTAAGTTAACTGTTTATCATTAACATCATTATTTCTATAATCCCAGGTTATTTAAATATTAGTCAATTTATTTGACTACTGCTGAGAAAATAACTGGAATTTTTTGTTTTATTTTAGACAACAATGATGATTTCCTTACAATGGCAGAATGTCAGTTCATTATCAAACATGAACTTGAAAATCTTAGAGCCAGAGATGAAAAAATGATCCCTGGTTACCCCCAGGCAAAGTTATATCCAGGAAAATCATTATGTAAGTCATGAAATCAACCAGCTTATAGATATGTATTTGAATGCAACTTTTTAAAATAACAGATTATAGAAGCTTTATATTTTTTCTTTTACTGAAAATGTACACAGTTTTATAACTTATTTTGCTCTAACATGTCTTTTGCATTTAGAACTTTACTATTTTGCACCTTTAAATCAATATATTTGTTCTGTATGTTTTGCCGGTTTTTATTTATTGAGTATATTTATCACAGCATACAGTTAGTTTAAAATTCAGTGTGAACACACGTACATATTATACAGTTAAAATAACAGTTTGGGCTTCCCTGGCGTTGCAAGGGATTAAGTCTCAGCACTATGAAGCTATTTGCAGCCTCTGCAGCACAAGTTTGATTCCTGGCCAGGGAGCTAACCCAAATGGTGCAGCAGACCTCTCCTGTCTCACCCGCTGCTCCCCTCAGTAGTGTATTTCAGTAGATCTGCCTGTTCTGCTCCCCACTCTGTCTCTGGTGAATCCTTTTACCTCCCGCACCTCTGGCCTATACCTTAGCTCTTGTATGCATAAATAGATAAAATAAAAAAAATTAAAATAACAAAGTTTACTTTATGCCCAAACATTGATATAATCAATATTCATGGGGGAATATAAAGAGGAGACGTGATATTTTCCTGGAGCACTCTTCCCATCTCATCTCACTAGAGATGAATACTTGAAAAAAAGGAGAAGGTTTAAATAGATTTACAAAATCACAAAATGCCTGAATACAAATTAGCAGCTTACATTTTCATTTTACATAATTCTGCTTGAATGAGAAAACTAATTTGCAGAATGAAAGTATTTAACTACACTGTGAAATTCCAAGTTTACCTCAAATCCAGATAATGGCAAGGCCTCAGAGCATTTTTTTCTGCCTATAAAATACACTTTAAACATGTAAGCTTTACAGCAGTCCTTCTGCCCACCTGTGACTATGCAGGTGCTTCTTTTCACCAATTCTCTCCCTTTCCCTCATGCCTGCCCATGACCTGTACCACGCTGGTGCTTGCACTGAACTCCCTCAGCACAGGCAGCTCTCCTCAAGGGCATCTGCCTGTGACCATGCAGAACTCTCTCTTAGCAAACCTGTTTCTTTCGGGGCAGCTCTTCCTGCCTGCGTGTGTCTATGCAAGTGTCTTTTATTCTTTTCCCCTTTTATAATATACCTCCTCTTTTGGATTAAACAAACAAACAAACAAGCAAACATGTAAGCTTCTATCACTCCCAGCGTGGTTTCCTTTTAATCATCAGTGTTATACTTTTTCTAGTAGGACAGGTGACCAAGAGCCAGTCGGTATTCCCAGTTGTCACCAAATATATTTTAGATTCAGAGACACCCATTCTGATGTTGCGCAGCCATCACATCTGTCCCCATAATTCTTTTCTTCATCTTGTAAATCTGAAACTCTGTACCCACTAAAAAACAACTTCCTTTTCCCTCTTCAGCCCAGCTCCTGCTGACCACCATTATATGACCTGTCTATGATTTGACTATTCTGTGTGTCTGAAATAAGTGGACTCACATGCCATTTGTCTTTTTGTGACTGGCTTTTTCACTAAGGATAAAGTCCTCAACGTTGACCTGTGTTGTATCATGAGGAAACCTTTTCAAGGTTGAGTAAAGTTCCATCATATAGCTATGCTACATTTTGCTTATCCATTCACATGTTGATAAACCCTTGGGTTGCCTTCTTCTTTTGCCCTCTGGCTGCTTCACCCAGGCTTGCAGAGGTATGGGTGCTCTTAGTTCACCCTGGACTCACTTTTAAGGCCTCTTTTCATAGTTCGTGATTCAGGTTTATAGTGTGGTTCTTTTCTGTCATCACAGGTACAGGTTTCTTTTTATGTTTCTTGTTTCCTTTGTTGTTTTTAGTTTGGTGTCATTAACCAGAACAAGGCCCAGGTGTCTCGTCCCTGTTTATTGCCAGAATTTCCACCTTTGTATTTAAGTAGTTGCTTGTTGCCATGCCCAAATTTTAAATCTTTCTTAATTTATTAATGGGAAGACATGTTTTCAGACTCAGCTGGGCACTGCATCAAGTTAAATACAGAGCTGACTGAGGCACTCTCCTGGTTGTTAGCATAACTATCCTGTGTCTCCTGTTCATCCACTTTAATCAGCCAGTCATGTAGAAATCTCCGATTTCACCTATTAGTTTCTGCACAGGTACATTCTCTTGCTTTGGTTGGGACAGAGATAAGAATGAGTGTGCCCTTTATTAAATGGGGCTTTGGAGCAGTCATTTTCCAAATGTTCCCAGTTGCTTCAAAGAGAGAAATTTTTAACTGAATTGAAAACCATGAAGGAAATATATAATTGGATTTCTCTTGGGTGCATCGGTAGCCAGCCTGGTGCCTTATTAGAAATATCTTTCTTGTTGGCATGGTAAGACTTTTGTAAGCAAGGATCTTACCTTATTTCCCTCCTTCCCTACTTCTCACCCTTCTTCACTCTCTATGTAATAAATAGAAGAGAATAATAAAATAATTTTAATTACAGTCATGTGAGATTTTTTTTTAAAGATTTATTTATTTATTTATACAAGCACTGGGTGCAGTCAGAAGTGCGGGAGGGTGAGAGAATTCACCAGAGCCAGAGCGGGGAGCAGAGCAGGCAGAAGGACCGAAGTACACTGCTGAGGGGAGCAGCGGGCGGCAGGAGAGGTCTGCGCGCCATGTGGGACCCTCCTCCGGAGGCCAGGGAGCAGCCGGGGATCGAACTGGCGCTGCAGAGGCTGCAGGCAGCTTCGCAACCCAGCACTCAACCACTGCACCACCGGAGAGGCCCCATGTGAGATTTTTAATGCTACCTGAGAATCATGTTGATGTTGTTAGACTGAATTTTAAAATACTGCCATGTTTTTTTCCTTTATGTCTTTGAAAATGTGATCCCTAAAATCCTGTGTTGTATTTTGCATCATTTTAATTTTATATCATAGTATTTGGTTGAAGAAGTGGTATATGGATAATTATAAACTGAACTGTTGACAAATTTTTTGTAAAGATTTATTTATTTATGCACACAAGAACTGGGGTACAGGCCAGAGGTGTGGGAGGTGGGAGGATTCACCAGAGACATAGTGGGGAACAGAACAGGCAGATCTACTGAAATACACTGCTGAGGGGAGCAGCAGGCGAGACAGGAGAGGTCTGCCGTGCCATGTGGGCTGTTCCCTGGCTGGCCGGGAATTGAACTTGTGCTGCAGCGGCTGCAGATAGCTTCATAGGTTGCATCTTAATGCCCTGCGCCACCAGGGCGGCCCCTGTTTACAAATTTTAAAGGTAATACAACTTACAGTGACTAAAGTCCTAGATTTTCACCACCAAGTTAATCCACCAAAATACATGGAAAGGCTTGTTTTCACTTTAAGCTTTATTGGAGCCATTATCTGAGGTAGCCTCATCCTTGAAGCTGATTGGGAGGAGAGATTGTAACCTGCTGTGTGCCGGGCCCCCTCAACATTGGGAGTGGCTCGCACTTTTATGAGAAACAGCCCATCCTCACAGACTTACTTTGATTTTCATTGTGCACATAGCAATTATAATTTTGTTTGCCATAATGTTGTGTTTTTATAGAAAGCTTTCATTCAGTAGCTAGTTACTTGTGTCCTTGCAGCCATGAGCTGTGTATGTAAAGGTGCTCTCTCATCCATCAAAGCCACGTGGAGAGCTAGAAATATGCTATACGTAAGTCTCAGTCATTGTGCTCACCTTGGGAGGCTCCCGCTTGTAGTTTCCTGTGTGAGCTAAGATCTCTTCATATTCTCAGATTGTGCCTTCTGCTATTGATTACTAATAGTTAATAGTCATGTAAATAACCTCATGAGGGCCTCCCCGGTGGCGCAGCGGTTGAGCGCTGGGTTGCGAAGCTGCGCGCGGCCTCTGCGGCGCCGGTTCGATCCCCGGCTGCTCCCCGGCCACCGGAGGAGGGTCCCACATGGCGCGCAGACCTCTCCTGCCGCCCGCTGCTCCCCTCAGCAGTGTACTTCGGTCCTTCTGCCTGCTCTGCTCCCCGCTCTGGCTCTGGTGAATTCTCTCGCCCTCCCGCGCTTCTGACTGTACCCAGTGCATGTATAAACAAAACAAACAAAGAAACCAGCAAACAAATAAATAAAGCATGCCTCTATTAAAAAAAAAAAAAAACCTCATGAGTGTTTTTCTTTAGAAAGAGGAGATAGGAGAGCCAAGAATTTCTTATTTATTAACTGTACTCCAAGAAATGTCATTTAAGATTAATCTCTATCTCACAGTGCCTATCAGATCATTATCATGTTTTGATTGCAGGGATGTGGCACATCTCAGATTAGATTAATATTATATTGTTATTCTTTTAGAACTTCTAATATTTATCTTCTATATACAAATGGGTAGGTTAGAGTGGCCAGATGCAACCTGTCTTCTGAAATTATTAATTTATCTTATGAGAATAATGGAGTAGATTTCAAGTAATTATCATGTAGTCGGCATGTACATAAGAAGATTGAGCTGTTGATCTCACCTATCACTGGGTACAGAAGCTATATATCTATTTCTCTCTCTATATCTAGATAGAGAGATCTCTCTGTTGCTACAAGCATATTTGTAGAAACAACATAGGAATATAAAAACGTATTCAAAACACAGCAGAGTTTTCCTTCTTAAGAAAAAAGTGGTGTGTTCACTCCTGAGTGAGAGAGTTGGGTGGGGCCTGGGCGGGGGCTGCTGGTGCATAGCAGCAGCTGCAGGGTAAAGGGGGGCTGTCTTCACCTTGCAAAGGCTGCTGCTGGCCTTTGCCCCCTCTTGGTACTTTGTGCGCTGTTCATCACTTTCTGGACTAGAGGCAGCAAGACCTGCTCCTCAGTGACGCTCTGAGAGATTTTTGTTTTTACTTTAGAAGAAAACTTGTCACGTTAACCAAAAACAGAGGTAGTGCTGTTTTAGTATTGTTATTGCATTATTTGATTTAGAGAGTTCCTGTGTAAGACTTATAGTCTCTCTTAAATTGGATTTTTGTTTGGCTAATTGTTAAATGGCTAAAATGGTAATAGCCCTAGTACTTGACAACAGATCATTCAGCATTCTTGAAGGAAGGAATCTTAGTTTAGTTGTTCTTTTCTTTAAATAGGCCTGTACATCATCACGTTTTCCATAGAAGGTAAAGCTCATGTTAATTACATTCTTAGCTGACTTGGGAAGGTTGAAGGATTTGAAATAAAAGTCTTCTATTTTTAGAAGCTGAAACTAGAACCATACTTTGGCACTGAAGAAGAAGTGAAGCCTAGTAATGTAGGATTTGTGGCTTTATATTCTCTCTGCGTCCTCAGTTCATAACCCTGTTTTAGAAGTAGACAAGCTGGTTTTTATGCCTGCCTGGAAAGTCTTTTATGCTGGAATGGAATCATTTTTTTTTTTTTAATAAAGAACTGAGAAATAGTGAAATAATTTAGATACTGTCAGTTCAAAGTTAAAAAAATTTGATACAGTACTTGAAAAATAACAAGAAAGAATAAGCTACAGCTCTGCATCCCCAAATAAGAGATAAGAATCAGAACTTTTGTGGGTGGCCAACTCATCTTAGCTGAAGAAAAATTTGCTGAAACACTTTAGAATAAAAATATTCAAACAATGGATCTGACCACAGCAGAGGCTGATATAACTTAAACCACATGCCTTTTTTCTTGTTACTGATATTTTAGTATATGCTTTTTAAAATCATTAAGGAGAATGTCATCACAACCCTAGCTTTTAAAAAACATTTTTCTATGTATAACTTATGTACAAAGTATAACTTGTAATGAAGAATCATCAATTACAAATCTTTTCCTCCAGACTCAGACACTTCCCTATTGTCAGTACCAGATATTTCCTCTTTACTATTTTTCTTTCTTTTCTAAGATATTAGATTTAATTGCCCTGAAGAATATATGATAGGGCTTCCATCCAGAGGACACGTTGTCTCTCCTGTTAGGTGTAGTATTTCTACGCTAAAGACTCAGGTCATGTTTCTTGTCCATCCTGCAGGCGTTTATTTGCTGGTCCTCATTGAGAGGCCTGTTTCTGATATTTCATCACCTGTGTTTGGTGACAAGGTGGATAATAGGGGAAACAGTCCTCCAAAGAGATGAGCTGGTAAACCTTAAAGCACTCAAAGCTTATCAGTATATGAAAAGAGGAAAGCATCTGCTATTGATGCAGATGCCATTTTATAAGCAGCCATAGTCTTTCTAAGAGACAGCACTGGGAAAGTGCTCTCTTTCTCTCTCTGATTATGGTACATGGCATTGCATTTGAGTTCTCCACATTTTGGGTCTTAAAGGCTTGAAGGCCCACCAATCCGGTATGTCACTAAGTAATTATGGATGAGAGAATGCCCGGTTTTTATTTGTTATTACCGGGGGTTCTTGTCTGTGATTCAGTTTATCTCTTCAGATACATGCATGAGTGTTAAAATCACACTAGACAAATGACTGCTAAGAGTAGAAAATCTTTTATATTTGCTGTTTGTGAATGTGTAAGCCTTTGCTAATGGTTTAGAAAGGATGAAAATGACTGAACATACTTGTATCAACAAGAATAAAAGGAACCGAACATTTTCTTACCTTCACTGTAGTGGAAAGACAGATTGGAAGAATTTTTCTAAGGGCAGCTTTGTAATGTGTGTCTAAATTTAAAATATGTATGTTTTTGGATCTAGCAATTCTTGTGTAAGGAACTAGTAGACAGGTGGGGAAATGTAAATGTACAAGAATTAACATATAAATAACTAACATTATTTATAATGGTAAAAAAAGGGAAATGCATTTTTCAAAAGAGGATTGAATTATAGCATTTCATACAAGGGAATATTGTGACAGTGCTAAAAAGGACATAACGTTCTATTTATAGTGATATTGAAAATATATTACTACGTGAGAATATTCCATAATAATGAGTATAAAATGATCCCATTTTTGTTTTTAAAATATCTATGATGTGTATTTTAAAGTCTGGCTATAAAGTAAATTGCTGTTTACAGTAGTTAATTTGGGGGGAAGAGAGAAAACCTGAGACCTTTCAAATTCTAATTTGTACTCTACTGTAAGGCTTAGGATTTTACATTGACATGTATTGCTTTCATAAGCAAAGAAAATAGTAATGACATTTACATCCTGAAGAACAAAAGAAAGTGAGTCTTTGGGGTAGGCAGTGTAACAGTGATCTCTGTAGCGCTTCTCTCTTCATTTGATGATGCAGGTCATGAACAATCTCAAATCTGTTTTGTGAAGTTTGGCCCATTTTCCCTCTGCAGTGAGAAGACTGCTCACGTCTGGCATCGTGGTTCAGGTATTTCCACTGCATGATAATGAAGACCTGAAGAAGCTTGAGGACACCTGGTACACTCGGTTTCCTTTAAAGTGTCAGCCCAAAGGTATGTGTCAATCCCTGTTCTCTTACAGGTGAGGAAGACGCAGCGGTATAACCCCCAGGGGTAGACATTTAATGCTCTGCTAGGCGAGACTTACCAGCTGCAGTTGGGTAAAACCGTGTGTGGGGGCAGTAAGGGGACTTCCATGATCCATTCATTTATTTGTTCACTCACGCATTCTTTTGTTCCTTCCTTTATTTCTAGTATCATTGTAGGTGGTCTGAATTACAGATGTTCACCAAATTTCACCAACACAGGCCATTCAGAGTGACCACCATGATTTCCTGTCAGAGCTGGAATAGAATAGATTGTATAAGAATTCAGTTTGTGAATATTTTGTTTTTGAAAATATCCTTCTCTTTGGAGCTAATCATTTGGAGTGGACAAGCTGTGCACGATCTTAGAGCCAGGCTAGCAGATTTAAGATGGTTTATAAATATCTTGATGTAAATTTCTGCATCTATTCATTTTCTCTGAATCCAGCTGTAAGAATAATCATTAATTTACTTTGTATATGTTGAACATTACTTTGTGTAAATTTATGTCAGTATGGATGTCCAAATTTTTTGGTTTTGTTAAGTCTTATAAGCATGAGTGTTATATATAAGCTGGTAGATTTCACCATAAATGTTGCTATCAGTTTTTCTTGACATGGCATTTCTCTTTTAATTTTGTTTAAAGGAATCTCTGTAATATAATTTTCTTTTTAATTTCCATTTCTGAGAATAACTGTTAAGAGTATTTAACAGTGAACAAAAAATTATTTTTAAGATCAAATTTTTAAATGGCATTTTGAAATTTTTCTTGTATTCTCTGAAAGGAAGATTTTTGTTTTTATTAGTTCCTTACCTAATCTTTCCACTCTGTTTATAGGCAGCACTAAATTTAAATATTGTCTCTAGGACTTGTAAGAGACATTATCTATAAGCTACTGTTAGAAAGTAAGAGGAGAAAAGGAGTTGATGGTGAAGGCTGGCCATGCTTGTGGTAGTGGGTTACAGGCCTCCGAGAGTGCCTGGGTGGGTGTAGTAGCTGGGGCAGGGCAAAACTTAAACTCCCACAATCAAAAAAGGGGATTTGATTTAGAGTAATAGAATAACATCCACTGTTTTAATTTGTTTCTGAAAAATTAAGGATGGGAGAAAATAGCTTATCCCAGTTTACTCTAACCCATCTCCATAGACTGATCTGACACATTATCTTAAAAAGAAAACTTTTTTTAAAAGAAGATTTATTTATTTATACAAGAGCTGGGGTACAAGCCAGAGGCATGGGAGTGTGAGAGGATTCACCAGAGACAGAGTAAGTAGCAGAACAGGCAGATGGACTAAAATACACTACTGAGGGGAACAGCCGGCAAGACAGGAGAGGTCTGCCACGCCAAAAGAAAACATTTTAACTGTATATGATTAACAAGAAATAATAACTCCAACTGCTACCTTTCCCCCAGCCCCTGTGTCCACCGGGTCCCACAACAGGATGCACTGACAGTCCAGGTGCTCACCCACGTACAGTGCAGCTGGCACAGAGTGCAGCGCTCCTGATCTCTTTAAATTAGTTGCCGTGTGTAGAACTCACAGAATATTAACTGTGACTTTAATGGGAACTTTGCTTAGATGAAGGTATAGACAAAAGTGTTCCATGACTGTTCTAGAAGCAAGTGTGTAGAATATTGTTTCATGCTTTTGAATAATTTTTCTTTAATATAGTGAAAAATTTGCCTTGCTTGACTCATTGATGAAAATTTATATCTTTGGGTAGGAGGAGCAGGATAAGATGGATGGGAAGTCTTCTTTGAAAAGAACATTTATAATTATAACATTAGAGTGGGAGAAAAGTGGAGAGCATAAATTAAATCCCAAATTAAAATAGCTAATTGGCCTGGGCTGAATTTAAAATAGGACCTTGGAGATTTGGAACAGGCCCAAAGGTGAGTTTTCCTTTGGAAAGAGAGCATCCCCAGATGAAGAAGTAAAGGAGGAACAGATCCAGGATGCCTGGCAGCCCCTGTAGCCACAGCCTGCGCCCCGAGCTGGGACAAGTGTCAGTCTTACCTTATAGACCAGTGGGGTCTTTGTACTACGTGGAGGACAGACTTGCCTTCACATATTGACTGAGAACTGAGGGCATTAAGTGATCCCCGCTTAGCTTAGAATTTCTACTTGAAATTATGGAAACAAATGGAAAGTCTTCAGTATTTTGTACATAACGTTTTTCTCCCCCTTCCATTGTAGATCATATTCGTGGTTACTTCGGTGAAACAATTGCTCTTTATTTTGGATTTCTGGAATATTTCACTTTTGCCTTAATCCCCATGGCGGTCATTGGGCTACCTTACTACTTGTTTGTGTGGGAAGACTATGATAAGTACGTGATCTTTGCCTCGTTCAACCTGGTCTGGTCTACAGTGATCCTTGAAGTGTGGAAGCGTGACTGTGCCAACATGACCTACAGATGGGGGACACTGGTCATGAAGAGACAGTTTGAGGAGCCCCGGCCAGGATATCATGGCGTCCTGGGTATCAACTTGGTCACAGGCAGGGAGGAACCGCTCTACCCCAGCTACAAGAGACAGTTACGCATCTACCTGGTCTCTCTGCCATTCGTGTGCCTCTGTCTTTATTTCTCTCTATATGTCATGATGATTTACTTTGACATGGAGGACTGGGCCTTGGGTCTGCACGAGGACAGCGGGTCCGAGTGGACCAGCATCTTGTTGTACGTGCCCAGCATCATCTATGCCATTGTGATTGAGATCATGAACCGGCTGTACCGATACGCTGCTGAGTTTCTGACTTCGTGGGGTAAGGCTTGATTCTTCGTATGTGTGTCTCATTTGCCTGTTAGAAATATTGCTCAGGTCATGGGATTAATATAATCCTACTGCTGCCTTACAAAGAAGGCCATTGTTGCTCTGGCTTGTTATAGAGACATTAAAAAAGTTCATGGGCTTCCTGAGCTCGATGCTTTCATCACGGTTATTGTGGCTCTCACTGAGCGTGGTTACCGTGTTCTAGCTGCCCTGCTGAGCACTCTGTCTACACTTTGCTGTTTTCACCTCCTCAGGATACATCAAATTGAAGTTATTTGACTATTGTATGCATAAAGAAACTGAGATTTACCTAAGTTCACATAGCAAATTGTACAGCCTGGCTAATCCGGGCCTTACTGTGTCTAAGTACCATAATACTGTGTTTTATGCTGAGGGTAAAATAGATTGGATTATTTTTATGATGCTCTAGCCAGATGAGCTGCATCTAGTACCTTAATACTGATTGTCTAGTTGAATGGGGGCTCTGAGGACTGCTGCTGGATTCAGAGAAGGTAGGTGATTGTGTATGAGTCTGCAGTAAAAGAGAAACTTGCTTATCACTTAAAGATGGTTTTGATAGACCATTCCTTAATATATTTATTCATTCAAATGAATATGTTACTATTCCCCTGGAAAAAATCTAGGCCTTAATGTCAAGGATAATAATAAAGATGTGTTAAATTATTTTTATAAGTCATGTAGTGTGAGGGGGTTAAGGGACCCCTCCAGGGTTAGAGAGTGACTGAGTAGCTATGTTGGTGTTCATGCCTGGGTCGGCTAACACTGACTCCGTACAAGATGATGCGTCTCTTCAGAATCTTCCTTTTGGTCCTTTTATTGCTCTCTCAGGACCTTATGCAGTGTTTCCTTTTATTTGACGAGCATAGAAGTTTGAGTTTTCCTGTAAGTTCATTCTTGTCAGCTAAATATACTGAAACTTTTATTGCCCTACACTTTGGAGGTTGTTTTCAGGTTTTTCCATTACCAGTTTTTTCTATTATCACTTGCTCAATATCTTTTTCTGGGTGTCTCTCTGTGGGGTCATTTGCCAGTACATACCAAATTTCTTTGTAGCAGCAATATTTAAAAAATAATCTCAGACTATTATGCTTTTGCAGCACCATGAAAAATGTGTCTTAAGTTTCTTTCTGCAAATACTCCATTTGTCTTTACCATGGTGGTAAACAGGAGCCATGACTGACATTCTAGAACATTTGCTGATAGAGGTGCTGTTGTTCTCGCTCTGCTCTCACTACAGCTCTCACTTTACTTTGCCACAGTGCTCCCATGCTCCTCTTCTCTGAGAGAAAATGACCTCTCCTTTTAATATTTTAGAGAACCACAGATTGGAATCTGCCTACCAGAATCATCTAATTCTGAAAGTTTTAGTGGTAAGTAGAGTTTTTATATACAAAACCATTTTAATTATGAAAAGTTACATATTGTTTAATATTTCGGAATGTAAATATGAAGACTTGCTTCTCATTTAAGATAATCAGATAGTTAATATACTTTGTGCAAGTAGGTCAGGATTAGTAAATAAGTATGTTTATATAGATATTCAGAGTCTTATTACTAATATGCACATGGTGTAAGGCTTCAGATACAGAAAGTAGGATTATAGCCTATTTACAGGTATTCAAAAAACTAACCATGTTATAGATGTGTCTTTTACTGTTGGTGACTTCTTTAGAATATTTCACTATTCAGTAATCCTTCCAGTTACCCACAGTTTGTTCAGAGAAATTTCTAATGTGTGAGAGGTTCCCAGCATGTTCTGATGGGTAGGAGGAAAGAGAGGGAGCAGGCACTGGGTAAGCTGCTTGCTGTTTGTGTAAAAGCTCACACATTATGCCTCTTCCATTATTATTATAAATAATCAAGAAGTACCAGCTTGAGAGCACCTCATTTATGAGGAAATTACCTCAGCCATCTGTAAGAGAACTGAGAAGCAAGGCAGGTGAATAGAGTCCTCTGAACTTTCAACTGGAATTGATTTAACACAGCCCATGTACTCTCCTCCTGAGAGTGGGATCTAGGCCATCACTTAGAAAGAGTGTTCCAGCTGTAGAAATCATTCTAAGGAACTTATTTATCTGTTTTTCTCAGGCTGAAAAGATCAGAAACCACCACTAAGAAGGCATTTAGGCTTCTGGAAATAGGAAAATTTATAGTGGCAAGAGTGGTAAAGAAATGGAAAATCTGTCACAAGTAGATAAAAGTTCAACATTCATGGTAATTTGGACATTAGAAAAGGGGTAGAAGAGGGGTAAGAGGCCATCCATATCTGAAACGACTCTGAAGGCCTCATTCTAACATGAAATAATCGATATTCAAAATGCTGGTGCTGAATCAGCAAGGAAGTTAGGCCCTGTGTTCTCTGTGAATAAAACAGGGGGACACACAATACATTAAAAACGTGTTTTTTGGTTTTTTTTTCCCAAAAAAGATCATCATAGAGAGCTTTTGCCTGTACAGGTAAAATACTCCATTTGTCTTTAAAGAATTCAGCTGTTTGTGAGATTTTATTATTCTCTGATAATGTCAAATTCAGTGTCAGTGACTGCCCTGTAAAGGCTAGTAAATGAGAATCTGCTCATCTTCCATTGTGTTTCTTAGGGCCGCTCCCTTTTTAATCTTATGGGGAGAGCATTTCTCACCTTGCCCAGGTTTTGCTTTCAATTTCTACCCCAACTCAGCATCCTGACCCCTGTCCTGTGGCTCTGTGGATCTTCCTGCTCACTCCCCATTCCCTGCTAGTTAAGTACACACGCCTGTACACAGAGCAGCCTTTTGTGTCAGGGAGTGACCTGCAGAACAGCTCGTAGGCAGCGTGGGGCTGGAAGGCAGAGAGTGTAGGTGATAGTTGCAGGTCCTTGAGCGGGGGAGTAATTCGAAGAAATGGTACTTGTGACTTGTGGTGGAATCCCCTCTGGTTGCTGTGTTCCCCCTCCCCTCCATACAATGGGCATGCAGGGCAGTCTCAAACCCATGGTGACGAAGATGCTTGCCAGGCCTGGCTGGTTGTTACGGCTAGTATCTCTGTAAGGGTGGGGAGACTCAGGTTTGTGGGCACAAAAGAGGCTCCCTGGACTGGGATGCTTGTGCTGTGGTTCTTGCTGGCACTGCCTGGCCATCCTGATAGTTCTCATGGGATGGGAGTATCAGGCGTGGCAGGAAAAGAGGGTGTGTAGGCAACTTGCAGTTGGGATGGTGTGGGGTGTAATGGGGATCACTATCAATCCTCTTTGCCAGTTCTGCTGCTGTCAGGACTCCTATTCTAATGAACAGGGGTGGGAATGAAGAGAGGTGGGGACTGAGCCTCCCTAGGCTACCTAGGTTGCTTGATCACCAGGTGCGAAATTCTGGGCCTTAGCCTCCTTCTTTTGTAAGAATATAGTAGAAACATAAGATGTGCTGGTGCTGTATTACTCCTTCAGTCCTGGGGCCCCAACCACTTTGTCTTCCTCGCAGCACCTCTCCAGTTCTCCTTGGTTTGCTTCTTGTTTTCTTTCCAGAGTTTATAGATGTGCTTAGTGAGAAGACTGGCCTTGCAGTCTCTGGACTCGTTCAATGCTATGTTTACAGTTGCAGAGCACTATAAAGCAGCATTAAATATTGCTTTCTTTTTTTTTGGCAGTTCAATTTTCTAAATTGCTTTGCCTCACTCTTCTACATTGCCTTCGTCCTGAAGGACATGAAGCTTTTGCGGCAGGTGAGTGTGAGTAACAGAAAGATGTCAAATGGATGGGTTGTAGAGGGGGCTTCCTATTTTCAGGTAATGTAATCATTTCACATTATTATTTTTACAAATAAAATCTTTCAAGGTTTTTTTTAAAGATTTATTTTTATTTATTTATGCATATAAGAACTGGGGTGTAGGCCAGAGGTGCAGGGGGTGAGAGGATTTACCAGAGACGGAGTGGGGAGCAGAATAGGCAGATCTATTGAAAGACACAGCTGAGGGAAGCAGTGGGTGAGACTGGAAAGGTCTGCTGTGCCATGTGTGTCAGCTCCCTGGCCAGGGATTGAACTCAGGCTGCAATGGCTGGCGATAGCTTGGTAGTGCTGACACTTTAACCCCTGAGCCACCAGGGAGGCCCCTCTTTTAAGTTTTTTGTATATTTATATGCCCAAATCTATATTTTAAAAAGTTAGCAATTAAACTGTGTATCATTTTCAGTTGAAGAGGAAATAGTTGAAGCTCATCAACTTATAAGATTAATCACACAGGACAAAAAAGAAAATTATGTAGCGCAGTAAAATCAAATATATGATTCTTCTCAAAACTTGTGAAATCAATGCTAACAGCAAAAAAGGAATTCATTAATTATATTTTTGTGTGTATCAGGGTGGAGGTGATTTGTATAATCTTATATAGGGCTTACATATTTCTTTTTTATTTAAATTAGTAAGTTGTTAACTTGAGAGAACAGCAGATTCTATGCAGTGCTGTATCTTTTCTGAAATGTTTAAGAATGTCTGATATTTGTTTTAGTTTGTTGCTATTTAATAACAGTGAGTGCAAATCACTGCTTTCTCATTTCTTTTTTATACTTTCACCCAGCTATCAGTGAGGATTGCTCCTCTCTATGTAGAGTGATTGTTGGTGAAAAAAGTAAAAAAAAAAATCTAGGCTTATTAATACTTGCATTTTTCAGCAAATTAAAAAACTGGAACAACTAGAGAAAGCTATGAGATTTTGTAATTATGGTTCTACCAGCTTGCATAAAAGTAAAATTAAATGCTGTGCTCTTAAGAGCTATAATAGAAATACTACCACTTTTTGAAAATTGAGAAAGTCCAAAATAATGTATTTGAAATTTATTAATGGATTATAACTTCTCACTTCTTATACTTGGAAAGTCTCTTTTATCTAACAGGAAGCAGGGAGATGGGGAAGATTCTTTAATAAATAGAATTTTAATATCAACAAAGGTGATGTGGGATAGAAACTCTGCTACCATCCAGGGAAAATGGAAATTGACACAACCCCTCCTGGAAACCACTTATGCAGCTTTGCCAACAACCTTCACCAATCCCTAGTAAATCATCAGCGATAGGGCCAGGATTCATGTTTATTGGTATCCAAGGGGCAGTGTTTTATAATTGTAAATGTTAGGAATTCAACAACAGTGTACAGGCTGGTCAAATTTTTTTTTTTTTAAAGATTTATTTATTTATTTATATAAGCACTGGGTACAGTCAGAAGCACAGGAGGGTGAGAGAATTCACCAGAGCCAGAGCGGGGAACAGAACAGGCAGACTGACGAAGTACACTGCTGAGGGGAGCAGCGGGCGGCAGGAGAGGTCTGTCGTACCATGTGGGACTCTCGCCTGATGGCCGGGGATCGAACTGGCGCTGCAGAGGCAGCGGGCAGCTTCGCAACCCAGTGCTCAACCGCTGCGCCACCAGGGAGGCCCTTGGTCAAAGAATTTTTAATGACATAGGAAAGTGCTCATCAGATATTTAGTGAGGAAAAAATACACAAAGCTGTATACCCTTAGGATGATTCTTATTTTATTTTCACATTATCAGAAAGAAAGATCCTAAGATGTTACAGTGGTGCTATGAGGGAGGTTCTCTTAGTTTTATTTTTTTTTAAGTTGTGGCCCAACTTTTTTTCAAAGTCGGCAACCTCTTTTAGATTCATATGTTGTAGCCAGGATGGGATGACAATAAACAATTTCAGGTTAAATAGTTTTTCTTCCAGTTCATAACTGGCTTTTTTAAAATTATAATCTTTTTCTGTCTTTCCTATGGAAAAAAGGGAGTAAATCAGAAACATCATTCTAATGTCCAGCTTTTATAACATAATGATATGGAATCTCAGCTAAGACACATTGTTGTTAATACATAATGTGTATTTGTGCATGGGCGGTGGTTTTGTTAAGCTCACCACCACATATCATTTATGTCCTTCTCTTTAGAGCCTGGCCACTCTTCTGATTACCTCCCAGATCCTGAATCAGATTGTGGAATCTCTTCTTCCTTATTGGCTCCAAAAGAAGCACCACATGCAGATGAAGAGGAAGATGCAGTCTTTAAAGGCAGACATCGATGCTACGTTATATGAACAGGTTGTTCTGGAAAAAGAAATGGGGACCTATTTGGTAAGTTTGAATATTGCTGAATTAAACTTCAGCTGAAAGTGAGTAATAGTTATGTACTGAGTTAAAAAGCATAACGCACAGATACCTTGTGTCAGATGTGACTTTTATTTGTACTTCCAGACAGTTTCCTCACCATGAACTACTTTAATGTTAAAAAGGCACAGTTGTGCATTAATACTATTGTCATGAATCTGAAATTTTGCCTAACAGTGAATTTGGTGAACTGTGTGACTGCTGTGCTGAGGGTGGTGAAAATCTTTGTTCCAAAGATGTCAGAGCAGGGAAGGAAGATGAGATATTCTGCAGAGACAGCACTGCCACTTGCTCTTGACCCTTCAAATTTAGAAAAGATTGAAGCCTATCACTAAAATGAATGTCAATCTGAATATTAATTTGTAGTTTAAATTACTTAATGTTATTGTAAATAAAAGTAGTTCCCTTAAGATGGACATTTTAGGAAACACAGTCTGGCTATTTATAATATTTCAAAAGTCTAACTCATACAGGCTACCTATGTGTTCAGCAAACTTTTTTTTTTCAATAAATTTTATTTTTATATTCCCCATACAATTGCAACCCCCTTATTTTGACCCCAATCCCTCCTTTCCCCGCCCCCCCCTCATAGAGTGTCTCTGGTTCATAGTTTTTTGTTGATTTTGATTTTCACTTTCTTATAGTTATTCATTTTCCTGGTCCCTTATTTAAGTTTTCTAGATTCCTGCTATGAGTGAGACCATCTGGTATTTTTCTTTTTCTTTCTGGCTTATTTCGCTGAGCATGATTCATTCCAGCGCCATCCATGTTGCTGCAAATTGCATGTGTTTATCTTTTTTGAATGGTGTTCAGCAAACTTTTGTTGACCTCTGTCTACATTCACTATTCTGTGTTTTGGTGCAGAGGTGCTGGGGCCACAGTTGCTTGAGGTCACTGTTTCTTGTATCCTTCACCTTCTTGGTATTTTCCTTCGCTGGTTCATTCAGTGAGGGTCCTTGACAGTCTGGTTTTCATCTTGAAAGATTTCGTCTACTGACTACTGAATTTCTTGGCTGATTGATTTTTATAGTTTTTCTCCTATACTTAAGAATTGTAGTTTGTGTTCATCTAGTGTAGAATTTTATTCTCTCTCTGTTCACTTCCCCTGCTTTGTTTTTGCAGTGCCCCGGGCCCCAGGCCTCACTTGCCCCGCCCTGGGCTTCTAAGTCCCCAGTCTAGAGTAGGTGTTTGTAGCTCAGAGTTCCCCCTTACAGTGATGCTGGGAGTTTGGAGAGCCAGTCACAGTGCCAGGAGACAGCATGCTGTGAGAGAGACTAGTGCCCACTCAGCAGCCATGGCTTTTTTCAACCTCCCTTCAAGAGCAGGGCACCACTGTCCTGGCCCGTGGATGTGCTCAAACTGTCTGCTTCCAGTTTTGCCCGTCTCAGTGGGTGCCTTTGATTCCCCCACCCACAGCATACAGATCCGTGCCATCTCCGTTGGTCTGTGGACTTGAAGCCTCAACAGACTCCTGCTTGCCATCTTACATTGAGCTCCATTTCTCACTTCTGCCACTGTTTTCTTGTTTTTGAGTGGTGATACATCTTTTGATTAAAATGTACATACACGCATCAGCATTTTCTGCCATTGCTGTGTTTGGAAGAGAAAATGATTCAAATTATAAACTTAAAGCACGTCTTGACCAGCAACACCCTTTATGTTTATCTATAAAGCATTAAGGAAATGCAGCACACACACTTGCAGCGGGAGAGTTCAGGGAGCATAGCACAGTGTGGAGCTGGCTCAGTGCTCGTGTATTGCCCATCACAAGCTGTCTGATTTACGTGCTGTTAGTATCTTTCCCTTTCTTGATCTAGGGAGTAGTATTTCTGGCCATGTTTATTTTTCTTCCTTCACTCTCTTAGAGAAACTAAACTAGCAGATTGATCTTCCTTTTCCCATGACTCAGTGAATGGCCTGCAGTAATTTAAACAGCAGTCCTTCATCTCAGCACCTTTAATTAAGCTAAGAACTATGTGCCAATAAGGTTACACTGTCAAATTCTTAAATCTTACCTTTTCTGGCATCTTTTGACATCTGAAAATACCTTTAAGAAGGAAGATAAGGTAGGTGTTGCTTTTCCCAATAAAAAATTGGCAACTGAAGCTCTGTTATTAATTATTTGGTGACTACATCAGCACTACCTTGAAGATTTTGCTGTCACAATGCCAAGTCTTTCTGGTATTCAGCGTGAGCTCTGTTCTGTGAGTGTGCACCTGCAGCTTGTGTGGGGCCCTGCGTGATCTGACCAGCTCTCCCTTCCGCATCTCCTCCAGTGCCCTCTTTATTCTCTTCACTGCAACCACATCAGGTATTTGCTATTTCACTTCTCTCCATGTACTTGGAGAGGGGAGATGCTGTCGGGTTACTTTTGTTCTAGGTCATTGTTTGCTATGTACAGATCATCTCCCTGTGTGGATTTTTGCCCTCACTGAAGTCAATGAACTTAAAATTGTATTTTCTGTAATCTTATCCTGACTGCTGTATATGAAGCTAAAATACATTGCAAAGCTTTGGGGAAAAGCAATTTGACAGAAACTTGAAAAATATTATAAAAATAATACTTCATCACTCACTGTAGAAAGCTTAGAAAATGTAGGACAGAGTCAATTAAGAAAATGAAGTCCTTGGTCATGTCCCCACAAGGGGTCATCCCTGGGGGTCTCGTGACCCTTCTTGACTGGCTGTGGGGCTAGGTGGCTCGGTGCCACAGCGCTCCTCCACCACTGCGTCCTCCACCGCTGCCGACTGCCAGCTCACGGCCAGCTGCAGAGCTGCGTGCGGCTGCCCTCACGTGAAGAGACCCCAACCCGGACAACATGTCCACACAGCAAATGAGCTGCCTGCTCATTGAGGAGGTTGGCCCACGGCATAAAGGAGGGCCACTCTCCATGCTGACGGTTTTGGAAATGTAATCATTTTTTTCAGACAGTATTTTTTTTTTTTTAATAGAGGCATGTTTTATTTATTTGTTTGTTTGTTTGTTTGTTTTGTTGATACATGCACTGGGTACAGTCAGAAGCGCGGGAGGGTGAGAGAATTCACCAGATCCAGAGCGGGGAACAGAGAAGGCAGAAGGACCGAAGTACACTGCTGAGGGGAGCAGCGGGCGGCAGGAGAGGTCTGCGCGCCATGTAGGACCCTCCTCCGGTGGCCGGGGAGCGGCCGGGGATCGAACTGGCACCACAGAGGCCGCGGGCAGCTTCGCAACCCAGCACTCAACTGCTGCGCCAGGAGGCCCTTCAGACAGTATTTTAATCTATGTTAATGTTTTCTTATTTAAGTGGATCAATGAGGAACAATTTTTAAAGTTAGTAATGATCACTTGGTAAAACTCCCATACACGGAAAGTCTTTGGTGTCTTTGAAAGTTTTTAAGACGTTAGTTTTTGGAGATCAGACAGTGTGAAAACTACAAATCTGGAATAGTCCCTTGCCTTTTTTGGTTTTTTCAAGGCATTGACATTTGTGAAGTCTGTTTGCCTCATTGTTTCTTCATAGGATTCGAGTTTAGCGGTTTTGGGGGTGTACTTCCTTTGCTACCCCATTAAGAGACAGCAATGTCAGGGTGTTCCTTGTGTCGGGCTGCCTTGTTGGATTATTGGATTGCTCTGGTGACAGGCAAATTGTAAAGGTTCTTTTTCACTTTGTAATGAGTTAAATTTTCTGTGGGTAGAGGTTTTGAGACTATCTGTTTGTTATGAATGGTAGCTCTTTATAAGTAATTTCTAGTTGTTTGTTACTGGTATATGAGAATGCTGTTGACTTTGACCCCAAAACTTTGCTGAATTTTCTTATTTCCCATATTTGGGGGGACTTTATTGGATTTTCTTTGTGGATATTTGTTTCTGCTACAAATAATGGCCATTTTCTTTCTTCCCTCAGTCTTTATATTATCTATTGGGCTCTATATTTTGAATACATTTGGATAGAAATAGTAATAACAGGAATATTTGTTGAGTTCCTGATTTTTTTGTCTTCTCACCATTGAGTGCTATTGTCTGTTCTATGTTTTTAGTAGGAAACTTTTTATGTTAAAAAATGTTCTTTTCTCTTCTTTATTATGAATGATGTTAAATTTTATCTAATCCTTTATTGCTTCTGTTGAGGTTATCATATAATCTCCCTTAATTATTTTATATTTTATTTACATTAGTAAGTTTCCTAGAGAACACTGTGTTTGCATTTAAATGATTATCCCAGACTTCAATATTTTAAATATATACTTACATGTATTTTAAATATATATATTTATAGTTATATAAATATATATTTTTAGTTTTATATTTATAGTTATATAAATATATATTTTGTTAGGAACGCTAATATATTATTTAGGGTTCTGGGGAGAATAGCTAATAACTTTCCTTACTCAGTTACTGAGGGAAGGGCCCCCATGTTATTTATCATGGAAACTCTTTTAACACAGAGTCTAGCATTTGACAGGCACTAAATATAATATGAAATCGAGAGCAATTTTAAGACAGAAACAGCTCAGCTCCTGACATCTGTTGCTGTTCAGTCTATACTTCCTTTCCTTATCATCAAATCTACGCTAAATAAATACATTCAGTATGGGGAACTCTAAGACAGGGTTTCTCCAGGGTGATGTGAAGAGCCAGTGGGGTAGATCACCTGCACCATGGAACTTTGTTTTCATGCATTCACCTATCTGTATGTAAAATTATGATTATCATAGAAATACTATAGTATTCCTAATAACTGCTTTGTTATTAAAGTTTGTATATAGGTTCTTGGAATTGCCTTAGTTGGTCTTCGCTACCTTGCAGCTAATAGGGCAGAGTGTGTCTTCGTTAATGTATGTTTATTTTAGTGTGTGATTGTTTGCTTTGTTAAATTTGCTTTTTTTTTTCCTTTTTGCTATTGGATTATGTCCTGGTTTGTTAAATTTATTGACTTGAAAGTGCTGGCAAAGTGTTAACGTGTAAATACCATCACCCAGAATCACCTTTCGAGGTGGAGACTCAGAGCGCTGCCTTGTGGGGTAGGGGCCCCTGAGTGTGGTGCCCTGACAGTGCCAGCAAGACACTCCTGTGACCTCTGAGGCTGCCCAGCGGCACAGCTGAGAGAAGCGCCTGCCTGTCTCTGTGTAGGCTTAGTCTTTTATTTTATGAGCTGAAACGGCACAGTTTTGAAAATAGAGTGTAGGCTATCAGGATTTCTTAAGACCACACTGTGGTAAAATGGAATGATTGCGGAGATTTTTACTCTTTCCTATCTCTTGCTTGCTTCACTCTTCAGAGAAATAGAATGATGCTATATCTCTGGGCATATTTTAAAACCACATCTGTATGCTGCAATACGACATAAGGAAATACTTTCTAGTGCCAAATGCAACCAAAGAGTGGTTTAGAAACTGCTCACTACTGAATTCCCAGCTGAGCATCAAGCTGTCAGTCAGCCAGCTCCCAAGGCGCATGTGTCTGGTGTTACTCTTTGGCGAGCCCTGGAACAGCCAGTGAGAGGCACTTAAAACCCCTGCTTCATGCCTCAACCAAATATCCAGAGCATCTGAAAGAAGCACTTCCTGCCATTCCCAATACTCTGTAATTATGTCTGGGTATTTTCTATTTTAGTGAAATATAAAAAAAGAAAGGAAACTGACTGAAAGTGGAGTCTGACATATTAAAACTCTCAGCTACTGAGTATAATGTGCATGCTTTGGTGAAGACTGAGTTTGAAGAGGCAGTAATGATAATTACTAATTTTAAAATATTAATATTTTGTGTTGCTTTCAAATATTATGAGTTTTTTTTTAATAAAACTGAAATTATTGCATGTGCACTGGGTAATCATGAGGAAGCCTGAGGATATCAGAAGTTGGGGAGTGTAGCCTTGGGCATCATGAAGGCTGGCTAGCCTGTCACTCAATCATGACATGATATAGAGTGCTGCTGTGCTTCTTTCGGGTCAGAATACCTGTGTTATTGTAATAGGCCTCTAGTGAGGCATTTGAATAGCCTATCAGTGATTCTCTCCAGATACAGTGATGTCACTGAGGTAGACAAGCCAGAATCACTGATGCCCAAGAGACCCACATCAGTGAAGTTTCTATTTCTTCTTGATCCACTTTTCATGTTTTGTGTTATTCCAAGAATTGACCCATTTTCATCTAAATTTTTAAATATATTTTTGCAATACAGTTGTTCATAGTATTTCCTTATGGGGGGAAAGAAGTAATGTCCTCTCTTTCATTCCTGATTTTAGTCATTGGAGTTTCCTCTCTCTTTCTTCTTGTACAGCTGAGGTAATGGTTTGTCAGTTTTATTTATCTTTTCAAAAGAAACAACTTTGGTTTTATTGATCGCTATTGTTTTTGTTTTTGTTTTTTAAATTTCTTTCACTCTAATTTTGGTTATTTACTTCTTTCTGCTTGCTTTATTTTATTCCTCTTATATTTTTAAGACTCTTAAAATGAAGGTTTTAGTTGTTCTGAGGTCTTTATTCTTTTTTAATATGTAACAAAGACATTTACAGTCGTACATTTCCCTCTGAGGACTGCTTTCATGGCATTCCATGAATGTTGGTATGCTGTGTTTTCATTTTCATTCATCTCAAAGTATTTTCTAATATTTCCCGTGACTCCTTCTTTGAGTCATTTGTTTTTAGGAATATGTTGCTCAATTTCCATATAATGTATGAAATTATCAGATTTCCTCCTGCTATTTCCTCCTGCTATGACCATTTTCATTCTGTGATTATCAGGGAAGATGCTGTTTTTAAGCTCTTTAAATTGGTTGAGAATAATTTCATGGCTTAACATCTCATCTATTGTGAACAGTGTTCCATGTGCACTTGAGAAGAATGAGTATTTTTCTGTTAATGTGTACATTGTTCTGTAGATGTCTTTTAGGTCTCGTGTGTGTGTGTGTGTGTGTGTGTGTGTGTGTGTGTGTGTGTGTGTTAGGGCATGACTTCAACGCTAAGATTGGAGGTTTAAAATTCTTCCTTAGCATTCACTTTCTGTTTGAGCAGAAGCTCAAGATCAGTAAGAGATGAGATCTTTAGGGCCTTCTTAGGTCTTTCCTGAGGTTGTGCACGATGCTACGCATGAGTGTGAACTTTTAGATTCCCAGAAAAAGTGTTGAAGCTTTTCAAATCCCCTGTGGATATCACTTTCTTCAAATTGTCCTTTTGAGTTCCCTAACCAGTCTATTGATCACCCCAACTGCTGCCCATCACCTTAGGCAGATTGATGTTAAAACTAATCCAATAAAGGGCCTCCCTGGTGGTGCAATTCTTTATTATAGAATTGCCTTTGAATTTAAGTAAATTCTGTGATTGAGGAGAAGGAATGGGAAAAAACTCTTTGAGGTTTTGTTTAGAGGCCAATGTGGGGCCTCCCTGGTGGTGCATGGGATTAAGATGCAATCTATAAAGCTATCTGCAGCTTCTGCAGCACGAGTTCGATCCCCAGCCAGGGAGCTACCCACATGGTGCAGCAGACTTTTCCTGACTCACCTGCTGCTCCCCTCAACAGTGTATTTCAGTAGGTCTGCCTGTTCTGCTCCCCACTCTGTCTCCAGTGAATCCTTTCACCCCCCACACCTCTGGCCTGTATCCCAGTTCTTGTATACATAAATAAAAAAAAAAAATCTTAAAAAAAAATAGAGGCCAATGTATTGGCTAGTAATGCAAAGTGTTATTATCTTATTTTAAAACAATGCCTGTTTTCTTCTTGTGGTTTACAATTCTAGGGCACCTTCGATGATTACTTGGAGTTATTCCTGCAGTTTGGTTATGTGAGCCTTTTCTCCTGTGTTTACCCATTGGCAGCTGCCTTTGCTGTGTTAAATAACTTCACTGAGATTAATTCAGATGCCTTAAAAATGTGCCGGGTCTTCAAACGTCCATTCTCAGAACCTTCAGCCAGTATTGGTGTGTGGCAGGTAATTATTTGAGAAAATACATTCTGAAAGTATGGCTTTTTTAAGCTAAAGAAAATCAGCATTATGAGAAAAAATTTGAAATGTATTTGGAATGTTTAGAACTAGGGGAAGACTTTTTTCCTAGATTTGAGATAATATGAGCAAAGATAAGGAAATATGGAAGCGACCATTGCATTTTTAATTTCACCTCCTTTTTCTTTCAGCTGGCTTTTGAAACAATGAGTGTTATATCTGTGGTCACTAACTGTGCTCTCATTGGAATGTCACCACAAGTAAATTCACTCTTTCCAGAGTCAAAAACGGATCTCATTTTGATTGTAGTGGTGGTGGAGGTAAGTGATTATTTTAGCCTATTTTAAATTGTTTCCACATCAGACAACTCTGTTACTCTAGAGCATTGGTGCCCTGGCTGTCAGTAGCTAGCAGTTTCACAACATGCATTTACTGGCATGAAAGCATGAAAGTAGTTCAGGTAATGGGAAGACATGAGAATTGATGCTGTGTATTTCCAGTTATTGCCCAAGTTAGTCACTGTGGTAGACAGAGGAGCATGACTTTCTAGCCGTTGTGCTGACTTGCCCAGTGCTCAAAAGATAAGTCCTGTTTGCAACAGAATCCTGTAGATTTTTTTTTTTTTTTAAAGGCATGTTTTATTTATTTATTTGTTTGTTTATACATGCACTGGGTATAGTCAGAAGCGCGGGAGGGTGAGAGAATTCACCAGAGCCAGAGCGGGGGGCAGAGCAGGCAGAAGGACCGAAGCACACTGCTGAGGGGAGCAGCGGGCCGCAGGAGAGGTCTGCACACCATGTGGGACCCTCCTCCGGTGGCCAGGGAGCAGCCGGGGATCGAACCGGCGCCGCAGAGGCCGCGGGCAGCTTCTCAACCCAGCGCTCAACCGCTGCGCCACCGGGGAGGCCCAGAATCCTGTAGATTTTATTGTTTTGATTTTTTTCCAGGTTCTGTCAGTTCTACTTTCTTAAGCAAATAAATCCTAAGAAATGTTTTGATAATGTCTCATTTTGATAAAAAGCCTCATTTGTGATAGGTGTGGACTTGATTGTGAAACTCTAAAACTCCAAAATGTAATGTGTAGGAAGACCCATAATTTCACATGCAAAATACAAGTCAGTTACCTGTCTACTTTTTAGTTTTTCATTTTCTTCATCATGTTCCTGAATATAGATTACTGTAATACTTGAAGAACATTTGAAAACTAACCAATTATAAATGGAAAGATTTTGTAGGTATTTTTTTGTTGCTAGTGGTGATAGTTGTCAGGAGTACTGTGACTGTTCATTTTTATTTATTTAAACCATTGAAGAAGTTGTGGAAATTTATCAAAGCAGAATTTAGCAAGAACACGGAGTGGTGATTCATATAGTTAAAGCTTCAGAAAGTAGAGCTGTCCAGAAGAATTTTAGTCACAAACGTGTACATTTCTAGTAGTGGCAAAAGAAATGTATTCTCCTTTGCTTTTTGCAATCCTTTATCACATTTGATAGGAATCCGTGTTCATGATAGATGCTATATGTGGAATATGTGTTTTGGAGAATGATGTTAGACAGCATTGAGTAGGAATGGAAAAGAAAATGACTCTGGCTGATAAAAGTAAAAGTATTCTGAATTTTTTTAGTTGAATACCTATGAAAGTGAGAAAATGAAACAGAGGTGCTTTAGACACTGGATGGCCAGCTTACCAGGATCACAGTGCACCTTCTTGATTTAGAGTGTGGCCCTTTATGTTGTGCATCTAGGAACTTGCCATTTCTGGTAGATCTAGTTTTAATTAGGTTTTTGGAACTGAAGTACACTTAAAACTAATGAGACTGACAAGGGACTAACCAGAATGCCAGATAGATGATTTACCATATGGAGATATTTTTCCAATGACTGTAACAGTTGGTGTTGAATTGATTATTAGAAGGTTTCTTGGTAAATTTAGAATGCTGGATTAGAGGAGTTTAATAGTCTTAAGAGACCCTAAAAACCTTCCCTACTTCCAAGCAGAGCAGAGCGCTGTCATGAGCCAGATTTTGGCAGCAATGCTGGCTAAGTTCAATACTGCCCTCTTTGTGATCTGATCTGCACTCCTTCTAGATTTCTGGCTGGTGAGTTTTTCTGTATATTCCCATTAATTAACTACAACCTTCTTTTGTATTTGGTGAGAAGGATGGATGGATGGCTGCATGGATAGATGGAGATATACATATATAATTTGCAAATATTTTCTTCCACTCTTTGAAATGACTTTTCACTCTGTTACTACTGTCCTTTGATGCACAAAAGTGAAATTTATCTATTTTTCTTTTTTTTGGCCTGTGTTTTTGGTGTTACATCCAAGAAATCATTGTTTTCTTCTAGAGTTTTAAAGTTTTAGGTGTTTCATATATTTTGAGTTAATTTCTGTAGAAAAGGTATATAAAGGAAAGGGTCCAAATTCATTCTTTCGCGTGTGGATATAGTTTTCTCATCATAATTTGTTGAAAAGACTGTCCTTTCCCCGGTGAATGGTCTTGGCACCCATGTTGAAAATCATTTGAACCATGTATGTGAGGGTTTATTTCTGGGCTCTATATTCTATTCTATCGATCTATAACTGTCTCTTTTTTAAACTACTTGACGGAGGGATGGTTGACATTGAAAAACTACTTATTTAATGTATGCAACTTGATGAGTTTGGAAATCAGTGTACATGTATATTTATGTTGGCACCACACTATTTAAATTACTGTAACTTTGCAGTAAGTTTTGAAATCAGGAAGTATGACACTTCCAACTTAGTCTTCTCTTTCGATTGTTTTGACTAACCCAGGTCTATATTAATGTGCTTGTAGAAGCTATGACTATTTTCTTGATTTCTTTTTTAAAAAAGATTTATTTATGCATATAAGAACTGGAGTGTAAGCCAGAGGTTGAGGGGGAGGGTTGAGAGGACTCAACAGAGAGAGTGGGGAGCAGAACAGGCAGATGTACTGAAATATACTGCTGAAGGGAGGGGAGCAGTGGGAGAGACCTGAGAGGTCTGCCTGCTGGTCAGCTCCCTGGCTGGTTGGGGATAGAACTTGTGCTGCAGTGGCTGCTGCAGTGGCTGCCGGTAGTTTGATAGTGCTGTGTCTTTAACCCCCGCACCACCACTTGATTTCTTAAAACTATTGATCAGAAGTTGGTATTACATTGGCAAAGATTAGTATTAAAATAAGCCCTATCTTTCTACCACAGCAGTATGTTTGAAGATTTACTTTTTTCATCCCTCACTTTCTTTTATTTGAGAGGATCCTGGCTTTGTATTCTAAATTGAGAATTTTTGTGTCAGAACAAAATCAAGCTCAGAGAAACTGTTAGAAGTAACCAAAAATTTTAGTAAGTTAGCTAATTTTATTCTAGTGTTGCTGAGACCTGAGCTAAATGCCATCTGGTCTTGTAATGAATCCAACATTTGAAAAGTTTGCAAATAAATTAGAAAAATTCAGTTTTTTGTTTATTATCATGTAAGTTTGCAAAATCATACTGAAATTCTAATTCGGAATGTTATGGAAAGTTTGTCAAAACCATCAGTGGATCAAATTAGGTTGTTTCTGTTTATAAGATTTTTCTCTTTGATCTGCAAATGTGTTTTCAGAAATGGAGGTAAAATTTTAAATTGTTTTACTTCCTATTTTATTTCCTAGAGTTTAGGTAAAGTTCTTTTTTTTTTATTGAGTTTCTAAAATTCTTATTCCAGAAGCTATTAAATTAGCAACGTCCTCTCTCTCTATGTTTATATATTAATTCATAGTCCCTAAAATTGTAGAAATTTTACTAACTGAAAAAAACATAGTAAGTCTTAAATTTATATACATGCATAAAATAAATTCTTGTGTATATATTTAATGTCTTGATGAGAAAAGCAATTGAAAATATTTTAAAGGTTTTTTCCTTCATTTTCACATCTGTTTTTCTGATCTGAATTTGTTAACAAAGAAAACTTAGAAAATCTAATGAATTTATAAAGTTGATGTTGATAGTGTCTTCATAATTTAAGTTGTGAATGAGTTGTTTTAACAGTTTTTTGGTTCAAATCCAGGAAACTAATTTTTTTTTTTTAAGAAGCATTTTATTTTTTTTTTAAAGTTTTATTTATTTATTTATACAAGCACTGGGTACAGTCAGAAGCGCGGGAGGGTGAGAGAATTCACCAGAGCCAGAGCAGGGAGCAGAGCAGGCAGAAGGACCGAAGTACACTGCTGAGGGGAGCAGCGGGTGGCAGGAGAGGTCTGCACGCCGTGTGGGACCCTCCTCTGGTGGCCGGGGAGCAGCCGGGGATCGAACCGGCGCCGCAGAGGTCGCCGGCAGCTTCGCAACCCAGTGCTCAACCGCTGCGCCACCGGGGAGGCCCAAGTTTTCGTATTCTTAAGGGTTTTTTTAGTACAATTTAAAATTGAGTAAAAGGTAAGTATGATCATTACTGTGTGTTTGTAATTCATTGTCATGTTTTGTGTTTTTACTGCCATCTAGTGTTGCCCTTAAAAACTAGTGACATTTGAGTACTTTTTTTTTTACATTAAAGTAACACTGTATATAACATTAAATAAGTCATTGAATCACTGATAATCACGAGTGTATACTACAAGAAATTCACTTTTAAAGTCCAATTCTGCCCTTTGTCTCAATTTACCTGCTCCCTCCCTCCTTCCCTGACCACGAGTTGGTTTCACAAGTTTATTTTTATATTATTTAGTTCCTCTGTTTTCTCTATGTACCACATGTGAATGAAATCATATGATATTTGCTCTTTTTTTATTTGTAAAATAGTTACAAAAATTTATTGTATACTGGCCGACAGAATAGCTTACTGATGTAGGAAACCACATGAAAATGCTCCCTTGTAGGTTAAAAGTGGTCCAATGCTGGCACTGCCATACACAATGGATTAGATCCATTAAACCCACTGGATTAGATCAATATTAGATCCATTAAACCCACTGGATTAGATCAATATCCAAGTAATTTCTCTTCATTAATATTCATTATCCTCGGTTTTTTTTTTTTTTTTTTTTTTTTTTTACATTTTGAAAGGACAGGTTTATTAGGAAAAGGAAAAAGAAGAAGAGAGGCACCTGCACAGTCACAGGTGGCCAGGAGAGCTGCCTCTGCTGTTTTGCAAAGTGAAAAGGTTTGCAAAGAGAAATACCTGCCTAGTCACAGGCCAGTAGGAGAGGTGTGTTTTGCCAATGCCCATCATCCCCAATTTTGAGACAAATTCAATTCACTTCTTAGATATAATTTCAAACAAATGATAAGTACATTATTTTTGTAATTATTTCTTTACTGTTTACTAAGTTGAGGTAAC